AGGCGGCATGATTTGGATAGTGATTGGATGTGGGGGAGAAAGGTGAGGTCCGAGTCAAGGATGACACCTAGGACCTTGGCATGGGGGGAGGGCTGGATAGTTGTGTTAACAATCTCAAGGGAAAAGTTGGGGGAAGGTGCACGGGTCGGAGGAAATATCAAAAGCTCAGTTTTTGAAAGGTTGAGTTTTAAGAAGTGTTGCGACATCCAGATAGATATGTCAGTTAGTAGATTAGTGACACGCAAGGACACTGAGGGGGAGAGTTGCGGAGTAGAGAGATAGATTTGAGTGTCATCGGCATAGAGATGGTATTGGAAGCCATGTGAGGTTATTAACTGACCAAGAGAGGAGGTGTAGATAGAGAAGAGAAGGGGTCCAAGGACAGAGCCTTGGGGGACCCTTACAGAAAGAGGAAGAGGAGGGGAGGAGTTAGAATTGTAGGTGACACTAAAGGAGCGCTTAGACAGCGCTTAGAAAGCAAATGATATTGCTTTCATCTAATTTTCTTTCCAGAAGGATGGAGCCATCTTGTATCAGGCAATATCCAGGGTCAGCAATCTGTGCAGTTCATGTCTGGATCAGCCCCGCTGCAGCCTCTCACCTTTGCATTGATACAAAGTTATAATGTTCCAGTCAAAAATGCTTCCTCCTGCTTGCAGCAGACTGATGACATAATCTCAGCCTAGGCAAAGTCATTACAAATTATTTATTGAAAAATGATACTGTTATTTTATGGTGACATGTCAGAATGTATTCATGCAGACTTATAAAGTTACTGAAAGGTCCAGTATAAAGTTTTGGCAAATGATCTTGTTATCCCAAGAACTGTACACAGCACAAGGGGACATGGGTGGAATATTGGAGGAAGAGTTACCAAGGGGTCAATTACAGTAATGGGAGGTTCACACCAGAAGTGTTGGGTTTATGCTGGCCATTTTTCCAGCGCAGCCCCAATGCACAAACAAGACAAAAATAGTACAGCACGTTGTACTTTTTACAGTGCAGTGTGGTGTGACGCAGTATAACTGAATCATGCCGCGCTGTGCCGATTGAACTTCATTAAATGTCACTCGAGACATTTCAGAAAAGTAAAAAAAAAAAAAAAAGGTAAACAGGGCGATGCACCGGGATCGGCACATTAGCACTGTGCCTGCCATCACACACCAGCAATCACGCATGTGGCACAGCTTGCTGGTGTGAATGGACCCTAAGAGTGGCTCTGTTATGGAATGCTTTACTATTTGTGGAATTTAAAACCCATCCATATCATATGGTGACTCTTGTGTGTACACATGTACATGCCTCTACAACATTGATATACCTACACATGTTAATGACTATCCTCAGGTGCAGATGTCTCTATTTTGATTTTACGGATCTGAATGCAGCACACGTTTAAAGGAGAACTACCGGGTTTCCCCCGAAAATAAGACACTGTCTTATATATTTTTTGGCTCAAAAAAACACATGGAGCGGGAAATGGCCAAAATTTAAAAACAGGCAACGATGCCTGTTAACATACAATCGATTCCGCCGGCGGATAGCTTGTATGGGGTAACGATCATTTAGTGGAAAAAAAAATTAAAGCCCCCCCCCAAAATTTTTTAAGTTACACATAAAAAAGAATGATACATTTTTTTTTTAAAGTCCCCACCCGTACATACACGCATGCAAACATGCGTCGGGGGCACTTTGAGCACTGTATGCATGGGATTATAGAAAAAATTAGAACGCCATTCAGATCTGTAAATAAACACCAAAACGCAGCAGTGATAAAAACAATGCTTCTTTTCAGCCATGTACATGCACACTTATAGATATTTTGATTTGCCGTAGTGAAGGGGTTCATGGCGTTATGGGATGCTTTTCCAGTAAATGTTAGTGTGAGTAGCAGTGGTAGGGTTAAAGCCTATATCTGGGAAAAGACCCTTATCCTGGAGATGCAAAGGATACCTGCTCAATGATTGTCTATGGGAGCTGTGTAAAGGTCCCCCGGTGGTTAGCGCTCACCTCTCTCCCCTCTGCTAAGGGCTAATGGACTGTCTCTTGGGGTCCTCAGGGGCTATGGGCCATGCATTGTACATGGTGACATCAGTGGGCCTCTGCATGCCAGAGAACAGGATGACGCAGCTATGGGTGCTGGTCTTTGATCCAGCAGGAGCGGGGATCAGGTAAGTCAAAGTCCTTTATACCCCTAGACAAACATGAGTAGTTAACCCTTATAGTGCAGGGGTAGCCCCACTCCAGGGGGAGTTTTTTTTCCCCCCTGGATATGGACTTGAATTCATGATGCAGTCTATGTATAACAAAAGCCAAAACTTTATTTCTGATGGAAAAAGAAATGGTGAAAAACGCTGTGAGCTTTTTTTTTTTCATTCGTGCCCCTTTGGGGAGATTTCCTCTTACTTCCTGTCACATAGACACCGCAGGAAGTAAAATAAAATCTCTTCAGTGAGAGAAATCCCCCCATATCCCCTCTGTTGCTGTTCTCAATGCAACTCAGAACTTTTGTTTTCTCTCTCATTTGGTCATCAGGACAATTAGAGAGAGTCAGGGAATTTATCAAAACTAGAGCAGTTGCCCATGGCAACCAATCAGCTTCTCTCTTCAGTTTGTTTAGTTAAGCTTTGGAAATGAGAGATGATTGGTTGCCATGGGCAACTGCTCCAGATTATGATCAATCCCCCTCAGTGCATCTTGTTATTGGGACCCCCGGCAGCAATAAACACCTGACAGAGGTTCCACCCCCCCTCATCATTCTATCCAGATCTAAAAATGCTAGTTTTGTGTGTAGCTAGACTTGTAAGAGGGCGGTATGATGTGTGTCAGTCCTATTAGGGTTCAGTGTGTGGTGTGGAACTCTGCTGACACAGTCCTGTAGCACCCAGTGGCCGGCACAGTCAGGCCCGGGCACGTCTGGAGGGATGCCGGTGATGCCTTCTCTCTCATAACACCGGCGCGCGCTGCGGAGGCTCCAAGATGGCGACGGCCGCAGTTCCTCCTGCTGCAGCCTCCCCACCTCTGCAGTCCGGCGGCGCCTGCAGGGACTCCCGCTAGAGCCAGGCAAGTAAGTGCTGATGGGATACGCCGGGGGGAAGTGAATGGCCGAGCAGGAGCAGGGCTGTAGAAGGAGGGGGGAGACCCGGGACAGGCTGTGGCTGGGACTCTAAGGAAGGAAGTAGAGTGCTGCTGGTGCTCGGGGCCCGAGATGGGGGGAGGGTAGTTTCAGGCATCGGCTCTTTGCCGCAGAGACGATGCTGTCCTGAACTTCTCCGCTGGGCGCCCTGACCATCACTCGCCCGGCTCAATGCCGGGCACAGAGCCCCATACCGCAGCCCTATAAGCTCCCCAATCCCCGGGTACCTCTGTGCCACTGCTGCATGGGGCTCGTCATGCAGGGGACCAGGATCTGGGGTCACTTAGTAGCTACCCTCCTCCTGGATCACCTGTGCTGCAACCACTCTGCTTTTTAACCCTTTGCCTGCTGCCATC